GCGTGATTGTAAAACATTTTGTCTTTATAGAGAGAACTTTTCTTCCGTTAAATTAAGTTGCACTTTTCGTTCGTTTTAGATTGCGTCGAGTTTCAGCTCAGCCTTGAAATATTGCTGAATACTTCATGATTTTCAGTGTTTTCCCTCGGTCGTCCACAAAAACAGATTCTTTATCACGTATCTGTTAAAGACTTTAAATCGACAAAAAAATCTGGCTTCCTTTAAATAACTATGTGTAGGCAAGTTGATTACCACAGCTAGCACCGGAAAAAATGTAAATTTTCAAGTCCGGCAACCCCTATTTATTAAAACTCTCGCGAGTTAATTACTCTCCTTTCAATGAAAAACCCGCTCAGATGCCCAATCGAAGTCTAGGACAGGTATTAGCATAGGAAATCGCACAAATAAATCGCAACTTCCATTTTCGCTAAATTTTATGAACATTTTGCTTGATATAATTATGTGAACACACTTTCTGCACAAGAAAAGGACATTTCACTGAAGTGGCTGGATGAGCAAACAAATTGTGCAACGCTTAAGACGCCCGGAAATTCTCACATCAGTTTTCGTTATCAGGTTTCATGAGATAGGTCACGTACTGTAGGTGTTAGAATTGCACACCGATCCAAAGCCACCGTGCGCACCAAGGTTAGGGCAAGTAAAGACCGGTTAAATCCCCAGGAGCAATTGGGGGTACCGTATCGCATCCCATGCCAAAATTGTGCAACTATACAAGTCAGACTGGACGCATGCTGGGATCGGCTATACAGGAATATAAGCTGGTTGTGCGACGACGCAACGATTTATCGCAAATGGCAACGCACGCCTACAAAATGGGTCGAGTTTAACTTTGCCGCCACCAAAATAATCGCACATGCCAGGAACAAAACACACTGAGAATCGATTGAAGCCTGGGCTCCGGATGATAATTCAGTTAATCGGTTTATTGATCTAGTGCCAGCGTGCAGAGCCTTGTGCAGTCACCTCCAGTCTTGCGTCTTCGACCTATGATTGGTTAGCACTCCATATCATTATCGCTTGTGATGTAGTTGCTGCCATCTCTGACGCTAGAGTCCTGTACGAATTCGAAAGCTCCGAACAAAAAACAAACTGTTTCGGTGCTCAACTCGTCCTCTTCTTTGTTTAGTGAAACACGTCTTGTCCGTAGGTAGGATAACGAGGTCGTTGTCGTTCTTGAGTTCCCTTAGCGAGTCACGTTCGGCCTTCGGAATCACTTATCGCGACCTGTAAGCCTGAAGTTGGTGGACGTGAAAATCAGGACTGTGGTTCTGGGGTGTTTTTTGGAATCCGCGCTGCGTGTCCAGAAAAAGCCCTTGTGACAGTTGCGAGTTCGAACGGTTGAGTGGGGCAAGAGGTCAGAATTTTTCCTGCAATGTTACGAAAGGGGATTTCTCTGTGATGTCTCCGTCAGTTCTCCTTGTGCATGTAGATGTGCGCGGTGGTTGCATCCTTTAGGTCGTGGGTGATGTGTCCTTGTCGCCATATCTCCTGGGGCGGTGAGGTAAACCGTTCCGTGGTGTGGGTCGCCGTACTTGCAGACTTCGGCTAGAATTAAGTCAGATTCCAATGCTTTTACACTGAACATCTCTTCAACTGTTCTGCTTATCTCAAGGAGTGGGGGCGGGCAATCCAGTTCGTCGTCTGTCGTCTGTCATTCTGACCCTCAAGTTATGAGACCCCAGCGTCCCCCCAAACATCTGCCAGATTTTGCTTTGAGAAGGATCTCGGAATACCGTACCTCCCCGTCCATCCCCTCCTCTCCACCAGTCCCATCCTATACGGAGAGGGCAAGGACAGACTACCAGCTCAGACCACCTCTATGTGTATTTACTCCTTCACCTGCTCCTGTGGGGCAGAATATATTGGTCGCACAAACCGATGTTTATCAAAAAGAATAAAAAAACATCTTCCAGCATGGTTAGGAAAGGGTCAAATAAAGAACCTCAACAGCTCGGTCCTCGCGCACATGGTAGACACAAACAAACGTGTAAACGCCAGAGAGGACTTCAGAGTGATTTAAAAGGTCCCATCAAGCTATCCAAAACTACTTGGACAGCGCTTGTTGGCTACGGCAGAGGCGGCTGCAATCGGGCTACGTGGACCGGTCCTATGCGCACAGAAGAACTTCATACAGGTCCCACAGTTGTTATGGTTCAAAGTCACCAAGCCAGCTACCCGCATGTAATTATCTTCGCCAGGACTCACCTTCTCCCTGGCGCTGACTGGAATTGTGGTGTTTAACTCTCCCCCTCCCCTCCCTTCCCTTCCTCTCCCCAAACCCGAGCTACCGCTTAATTATCTACTTGCCCGTATCTTTTACTTCCTTACCTCAATAGCCATATAAATGTACAGGTCTGAAGAGAATTTATCTAACGCAGACGTATGCTCGCCAAATTGCCTTCTGAACAATGAGTTATTGTTTGTTTTTACTTCGTTCTCCCAGCCATCAGCATGTCGACTGTGCTGTTTGTCGTCTTCTGCTCGCGCAGAGGTTGTCATATGTTATTAAGGGAGATGGGTCGGACACAGGAATATGCACCCCCCCCCCACTCCAGTACTACAGATGGCCTCGCTCTAAATTTCAGGCGGATTCTTATTCCTTTGTCCAAACTTTAGCCCTAACATCTACCACAATCCCGACCCTCTTAACCCTATCACCAACCCTCGTGAAACTAACCCTGACTATCTCAATCCCCCCCCTTTAGAATGTAGGGCAAGGGCAACTGCAGCTCGGAGGGTTCTGTTCCGGTGCCCAACTGCAAAACGTTCTTATCTCTATGGTGGTATGCAGGGAGGCAATTTCGACATCACCCAAATCATCCCATTTACGGCAAGTACAGGGTACTCCTTTTCAAACATACTCCTTACTGTCTGCTCTACCAACATGTCGCAAATTTCACTGCCAGTTACGCGCTTGCAGCAACGCACTCGAACTCCTTCGTGAAATCTCGGGACTTATAAAGACACCTTGCGGGTCCACATAAGTGTACGTCTAATAAATATTGAGATTTTTGTGTGGCAATCTCCTATGTCTGAGATTAATACCTTGAAAGTCTCGTAGGCCAAGTGCAAGTTATGATGGCTTTGGTTTGTCCATCTGCTCTGACGCGTAGCTCAACTCTTTTCTCCCGTCTTTTTGGGGCGAACTCAGACCCTCCGAGCCTCTTTTAAACAGGTGGGGCAGACACGTGTGTTCGATGATCTCCCTGTGCTTTTCAGAGTATTCTCGTCATGTGGTTTTGGAGTTTGCTTTCGGCCCAAGTGTGTCGGGAAGCCGAGGTTACGCATTGCTGGCATCGAAGAAATTCCTCATCTCGTCACCGTCGATATATCCCTAGATCTCCCCAGTTCTGCTAGTCAGCCAGTCGTTCTACATCTCCCTTAGCCTCTGCTGTGCTGGCCGTTGGCATCGGAAATATGCGGCTTTGCTGCGGTTGATGGTAGGGGTTATGTGCGGACTGTTTCTTGGAGAAGAGAGTGCCAATTCCCCCTTCACTGTCATCAGACTAATCCTTGTACTGACGGCGTGCGTCCGAGGGTCTGCGTTGCGGTGGCCTGGTTGAAATCTCACATTTTCCTCCACTAGTTTTCGATATGGGTGCGCGCCTTCAGGGTTTGCATTTCCAGTCTTGAGTTCATGTAGCTGCTAAAATTCAATTAGCGCTCAGTCGTATCAAGTAACACAGTCTTTCACTTGCCTGACACTAACTGGCCTTGCGGTCACCTGCGCGGTTGCAGTTGGAGCCTCATTTTGGAAATGAAAAAGCGGCGGTTAGTGCCACCCATCGTCCTTGTCACGAGCACGCCGCGCCGTTCAGGCCTCCGAACTAAGGCGTCGTCCAGCAGATGCCAATGATGCGACCGAGGGTTAAACCGCGTCAGTTCTTCCTCATTAAAAACGGAAAGAGGTGTGGGTCAGGAGAAGATTTTGTTCCGCACAGACCTACAGGAGGAGGGGGAGAAGGCCACGTCCGCTGCAGCTGTCGACGCCATGGCGACCGACCACCTCCTCCCCCCAAGCGGCATTGTCTGTGCCGACGCGAGCGTTCGGGTCACTAAGGGCAACCGGTTTGTATGCCTTCAGTACAGTTGTTAGAAGAGCGTGCAGGTCCTCGTAGGACTTGTTCTTGACGTCATTATAGTTGGTCATCTAGGGCGTATGACGCTGACGATAGCGATTAGTTTATCCCCTCGGAGTGGCAGCCTCATGGCCATGAGACGGACACTGACGCCCAGCGGCAGACACGAAGCCCGTCTCACGACGTCGTTCCTGGTGGCGAAGGCGATTCCGGCGTCTTGTCACATTGACCTTGAGCGTATGCATCAGAAAAAGGTGCTTGCAGTACCTACCTCCGCCGGTTGGCCCTATTCAGAGCGCCACATTGGTCATTTTGCTCTTACACCAGAGCGGAGGTGGTGGGCGCTTGGGAGAGCGATCAACCGCAGACATTCTGGTGTCCTGAATTGATGATCAGATATCATCTACTGCGTCTCTGCAGGTGCCAAAATATGAGCTCATGGTAATAGCTATGGAAAATGCGTCAATCAAGACTTCCAGCCATTATAAAACCCTTCCATATGCGGAGAACCAGTTGTCTATTTGTGCTACGCTGTATCTGCCATTAGGAGCAATCTGGACCTAACGGAAGTTCCCAAAATCAGTAAATTACCTTTATATGATCTCGCGGAGAACGAAATGCAGGTTTTACCCAAGGATCTCTGTTGCCCTTACTTGGAGGTTAGGTGCATTTAGTCGCAAAAACGTGAGCTCAGCGTGATAATTCGGGAGCTGTGCTAAAGTACAAGGTCGTTTCTCGCTCGACACGACCACATAACACCTTCAGTTTCAACTAAACCACAGTCCATGAAAAAGTCGACAGCCACGTATGTCGCAAGTCGCCCGACTCATGGCTCACCGTACCGAAGTGAATCAGCCAGCACACTGCCCTCCTACGCTGCATTAAGACTCCGCCTTGGGTATGGTGATAAATCAAACGGGCAGTGCAACTGATCATCTAGGCGCTGTGCGGACGGCGTGCGCCGAAGAACGATACGAGAAGAAAGAATACCAAAGCCGCCATTACGTCAGCTACCGACACGGAGACGAGACAGCCACTCATTCGCATGTAGTAAACCAAGCAGCTGCCATTTACATAAATTACCACCTTCGAGGGTCGGTTATTGACTGCAACTTGCCTACCAGTAGGTATGCGGTGTTGTCAACTTGCAAATACTGTCTCTAGCTCTCCGCCTGCCTCGTTATCAGACTGAATGCGAAACGTCAGACGAACAAGCCCCCCCCGCCCTCGAGCGATCAAGACCTCCGCCTCCACGATGCCTGTCTAGGTAATTGAAAAGATTGAGCCGCTCATTTGCGGTTAGGAGTTCCTTTACGGGCTTAATAGTGACCAAAGCCCGGTTCGTGCATGAGAAAAATCCCACCCAAAATTGTCCTCTCCTTGGTATAAGTGGGTCATTGATGCGTCGCAACCAAGACTTGTGGATTGCTCAGGCCTTGAGGGGATAAAGTTCTCAAAGTCATTTATTCTCTCCCTGGAAGAATCGTTATTTTGTGGAGTGGAGGAGGGAGTAGTGGACGGTCTATGGGCAGACTTTCTCTGTTTACGATAGATGTGCTATCTCATGAAATGCTAACCAACATTCTGGAATATATTTTCTATTCGAAAAAATTATTTAAGTTGGATTGTAAAATTAGCTATCATGGAGCATAATTCTAAGATATTTCAGCTACATCAGGATGTCGTCTTTGGAATGAGCCTCTTCTTGGCCGTCTGCAAAGATCACACTCTGTAAAAAAATTACTATTTAAATAGTGTGAATTTGCTTCCACTGATTTTCGATGTCCCATAATTAGAATATGTTATATGGAAAACAAATAAAAATGTTCTTTTGTACTCATTCGATAGAAAATTGCGTCCTTCTAAAGGTTTTTTACTTAAAGAGAGAGCATCTTTCGGTTTTTAAACCCCTTTTTAATTTCCGAATAATTTTTTGCCCCACCTGCAGTTACACTTGCATTCAGGGTTTCCGAACTACGGACTGTGAGCATTCCATCAGAGGAATATCGAATATTTCCCAACGTTGTTAACATGATGTCATATAGGACTCATAAACATTTGCAGTGAATGTGAGCCAGGTTGTATACTTTATAATTAACACCAATAAAAGTGTGGATGCGATGGTGTATGAATAGAAATTTGATGACCTTAAAAAATCCCATAAATATACACTTTTTTTAAAACAACAAACATTCTCCCTTCGAAGAGGAAATTTGGGAACACGCGATTTGCTAAAAATGAGTATAGAAAGAATATTTTTTGAAAATTTTCTATATACTATACTTGAATTTGTAAAGGAATCGAAAAGCAACGGGAAAAATTCATACCACCTAAGTAGCCTTTTTACAGAATGCAGTCCTTGCAAACGACTGAAAAGAAGCTCTTTCGAAGGTCAACCTCCTGGTGCAAATGAAATATATTAGGATTAAACTACACGATAATTAATATTACAATGCTACCTAAGTAGCCCTTTCGAAACTAAAACACCTATCTCCGCACGCAGTTATGTCCCACCCGTAAAACCCCTATAACCACCATTCCCGTATTACGCGGACCTGGGGTTAGTGGTCGTCAGGTAGGATTACACCACCTGCCGTTTCCGTTTCATCTTTTCGGTGACTTGACTCTATCCTCTTTTCCTGTCCCTAATTCTTCCTTAGGGCCGAATCCCTTAACTACACCCCTCAGTCTTTAATTTAACCATCATCACAGGCTTCTAGTATTCCTCATTCTTCTAACGTTTGTGCCATTTTTCATGGCTTACTAGAAAAAAATTGCATTCTCAAGCTAAGACGCATCTCCTTCTAAGCTGCCTTCTTCTGCCAGTGTCTCCCGGTTGGTACCATTGTACGGACACATTTCACTGCAGCCTGATACTCCACTAGTTGAATTCTCGACCTAGTTGCCGCAAAGTCAGTTTATCAAATCTGGTTTTGTATCCGTCATATCTCCTGTCGTACAACAGTGCTTAGAAAACCAGCCACCCCGTCCGTGGAACAATTGCTACCGCGTGATGAAATAAAAATACGGAAGCCGGAATTACACGTCACGATAACACTCACAGGCTTTTATATCATTCATTTACTTTGTAAGTGGATGTTTGGATTTTCTGCCAAGACTACTGAAAATAATGCCCGAGAAATGACCCCAGCTCTCAAGTTGTGGCTCATTCGACGAGATCCGGCCACACGTTCAAATTCAACAAGACCGAAATTCTCGCCAGAAATGACAACCGCGTGAGGCGGGGGCTACTTGAATCATGGTTTACTGGCCCCCAGCCCATTAACAAGTGCAACGACTTTCTTCTTCCACACTCGATGCTGAGACTTCGCTTAGGCGGAGTAATTAGCAACGCGGGGAGCGCAGGGGTGAACACGCTTCCCAACACCAGGGTCTTTGCGTCAGATGGTCGAGCAATCATCACACCAACATCCAACGCACGTGACGAAGTTGCAGCAATTAACGACGCGAATGTCGGCCATCAAACAATTAGCACACCAAGTGTAACGATCCCGGATGAAGGGGGGGGGGGGGGAGCCGCGAATGTTCATAGGTCTGCGGTAGCATGGCGACTGCATCCTATAAATACTGCAGTCCCTTGTGCATGAATCACCCGTATCTGCTGTTGTCTCTGATGATGAGTTTGAGCAGAAATCCGAAACGTCAGGCTAATAAATCTCTTTTCTCAGCGATCGTGTCTCCTTCTTCATATCAACACATATCACCCCATCAACACATGCATCCCTTATTAACACCTGCGACATTCCACATCACCGGCACCTCTCAAGTAAGTCTGAAGTGTGCTCTTCGGGTCCTTTCTCCATGCGGCTCCTCTGCTGTCTGTGCGATCCGGAATTTTTCTCTCTGCATGTGAAACCCTGGTGAGTGCGCATATGGGGTCAGGTCGCGTGTGTAGCACGCGCAGACGGGCCCTTCAGCTCTGTCAACCACTGCGCCAATTTCCAGCATCAGACATCTGACCAGATTGGACAGTGGACGGCGCCTGAGAGTGAAAGGAGAGAGTAAGATCGGTGGTCTCAATGTGCATTCACCCCTTTAAACTATCCGGGACGCACGAGAATGTTGATATGCACTAAAAGCTATGGCTTAAGAGGCGATTGCCAACTGACGCGACAAACTGGACCTTACAGTTAGCTCATTATGTTTGTGCGGAGTAACCGACTGGTGAACTGAAAGTCAGGCTGCAATGACTCCTTCTTAATGTGACCTCTATGGCACCCCAACTCAGTGGGATCAGAGCAGTTCCTCTCGTTTTTTGATCTGTAAAAATGTAAATCATCGGATTTTATGGTACGCCTGGGTGCGGATTTTCACCTGCGTCCTTCACCCGCCTCCGGTTTCTTTGACTTTGTCTAGGAACTGGGTCCGGGTGGGGAAGGAGGAGAGGATGCCGTGGACGCAACGCAAGTCTAATATCCTTTTTAGATGGAATCACGCACAAGTCCTGTCCCTGCGCCAACCCTGCTGTGGAGCACATGGTAGGCATTGTCGGTCACGACGGTTCATCTGTAGTGTTGCTGAGTCGGGTGAAAAGGCGAACTCGGGGAAGCAGTTGAGCAGAATGGGATGCGGTCGTTGAAATCAGACTTTTGTTTGCTTGGCTTTCCTGTCTTTCATTCGAACACACCTGCAGAGACAGCATTGCTCTTAAATAAGTGCTGATGACATATTAAAAAGTTTTTCCCTACCAAGATGCTCATTATAGGAACTGGGAAATGCGTAAATAACGGCAAGGCTCTGATCATCGTTAATTCAGCCAGGCCATTCATGAGTTAAAGAGAAAAGAAGGGGGATAAAAGTGGGCTGTGCCAAGAAGAATCAAGCAATTTAAAACGCCACGAAGTGCAAGATACACTTCCAACCCTTTATTTTGCGCAAGAAATTAAGAAAGCGGGTGCTACTTGACTCGAGGGAGTGGTCTGTAAAGAGCATGTTAGTATCCGTAAAGTATGCCCTAAAAAGAATGACTTCCTCAATGCACTGCCCTATTTACTGGCTCTACAAACGACGAAGACGCCTGGCTGAATGGCACTGGGCGAACTACTCTTTATGGTACATCTGAATTAAATGAATTGTGCGAATTTTGAGGTTTATTAAATGTCGTAAAATGTGCGAATAGTTTTGTTCAGTTCATAGTAACGACGAATTTCCCAATCCCGACTACTTTCCCTTTTGCTTATTTTATTAAGCTTGATTTACATGAATATGTTAAATGTTATAATATAGATATTTTTGACACTGCACTAGTTTTTACCAGTTATCTCCATTATTTTGGTACGTTACCTGATAATTTCTAACTCGACTGACACATCAAACAAACCCCGAATTTAAACAATAACTAATCTTATTGAACACAGGTTTTCACTGGACCCGCTTAGAGCAGATTGCTAACATTAAGTGGAGTTTGGTTCACCCTGCCGCAAGCATCTAAAAATGAATAGGGTAGCCTCCAGTAGTACAGTGAGTGATTTTGTCGACTATATGCAGTAAGTAGATGCTCCGAACGGGTGGAACCGATATAAACAGCACATCTTTGAGTCAGCGGGCGGTACCTAATGCCAGAGCAGGTCACAGAAAAACAAACGGTGTAGCCTGTCCAGAGTGTTGTACATAAAGAACCTTGGTTCAGAGTATCTTTAGAAACCACCTGGTTCTCGCGAGAATGTGGCAGGTAGTCTGTAGACTAAGGAAAATCTGGGAATCGATAAACACTTAAGCATGACCTCCAATCTCACGAATTTCCCATTTGCTTTGTTTTCTGCTTATATAACCGCAGATAAATATATCGGAGGCCTAACCTGAGCAACCTAAAAGTCTCAGGGAGGTGTGATTTATATACGTTGGCACTTGGACCTCGCTTCGACTTACTGGGGTCTGGGTCGCTACTTCCTCAAGGGTGAGGAAAGGGTGGCCGAGGTGCGCCTAACTACGATGATGGGGGGGGGGGTTAATCAGTGAGGACTTAACCATAAGTTCATCCCGCCTAGAAGCCGAGAAGCCACTAAACCGAACTGCCACTTTATAGGTGTACCTACCTTCCTCCGACCATGGATGAGAAAGTATAGTAAACGCTATTTCTACAAGGCTGTGAAGCATACAGGCACACAGGTTTGGTGCGAACTTTGGCAGTAGACACCATATCTAACTGTCCGAAATGTCGACCGGTCAAACACTTCCTTCAGGCATTCCCCTCTCTCTACCTCAGGGTCTTGTTAATTAGAATACGATAAATTCTGCAGTAACCCTATAGACGGTCGGGGCTTAGGCCTAGTTTTTAAGTGGAAGCCCTAATTACGAAGACACTTCTAATCCGGGCCTTGTGCTTCATTTAAATTTGTTTAGTAAAAAGCAAGCTTCCATAGAAATGAGTAAACTGCTGCAAAATTAAATTGGTTTCCCTGCCCTTAATTTACGTATAATGACATTTTTTTCAATGAGTCAACAGAGTTCTCGTGAGCTGCCTGTTTCACACACACACACACACAAACGAAAGCTAGCTTTTAAAGTTATCTAACAAACCAAAACTGAGAAAACGTTTTTGGAGACGCAGTTATAACCGGCAATCGGAGGAATTATGTGGTACTTTTCACTAGGTAAGAAACTGACAATAAATGCACTGATAAATGTAAAACTACTGAAGTACGCCCTCTACGGCGGGCTGCGTTGTCCTAGTTCTTATTTACGTGCAGCATGGCCACACATTAAGCCTTGATTCCGCACTCCGGACTCAATGGTCACAACTTGACTTACCTGCCTGGCACATTGATCGTAATTACCGACGAGGCCCACCGTGTGCTCCACAGCAAGATAAGAGCAGGACGGTGACTTTTGCGTGATTTAGTTTGTAATGAGTGTAGACTTGAATAGCATCTATCGCACTTTCCCTCATCCCCAAACTGGACCCGGTGTCAAGACAGAGTCAAGAAAGCCGGAGGCGGAGGAGGGCGCAGGTAGATGGCACGGTTGAGCCTGCACACTGGCGCTCCACTTCACATCCCTTAGTCCACACAGCAAATGACCAGGATTTTAACCAACAGCAAAAGGGCGACTGGCAAGGCCGGAGAAGCACCTAGGCGTGCTACCACACCTGGCTCGGATCCTACAATCGATGCATAACAGCCCAGAACAAATTCCAAGTAGCTGAGTTTAAAATGAGTGTCACGATCCTGTAATCGGATAAGGGCGGCACGAATGGGGGCTAGCCAGTGCGCGTGGGCGTAAAGTCGTTCTTAATGCAAGTCATCTCCAAACCTAAATGATATGTCATGTCATTTTCTGCGGGATTCATAAATTTAGAGTCCTTGAAGATTATGTACTTTTAGGGGCCTTGACAATTCAAAGTCCATTTAGGGGAATATTTAAAAGAGCCGCCGACTAAGAGTTGATTATTTGGTATTTTTCACATGCTGAGTTTATCATGGTTGGGTTTTATGTAGGCCTCCGTCATTTGAGATCCTGCCTATTAGAGGACACTCTAATGGGCCATATTTTTGAACATGAGACAGAAATAAAGCTGGATTTGGATAGAATATTTGACGGTATATGGGCATGATGGAAAGTGTCCCTCCCAACCTGCGAAAAGATTATGATAGTTCGACCGTCGTTGCCCGGTGTCCAGACGGAGTCAAAAAACCAAAGAGGGAGGTCGCAGGTGGATGTGTTGGACGCGTCCGCACCTTGGCGCTCCACTCCGTACCCCTGGTCCACACAAAAATGACCAGAGATTTTGATCGCCAAAACAATGGAGGGCGTGGCAGTGGTCCCAGTTTATGCGTCGACTGCTGACAACAGGGTCTTCCCGCGCACCCCCTCGATGTTTGCATTTGTTATTGCGCAAAGATAACGCCTGCCATAATCTGATGTGGCTCTCTTGTTGGTCCAGCGCATCTGAAAGGCGGCCCGTTTGGAGGCGCACACACACACACAGACACACACAACTGGGCTTCAGAGAAGACTTCGGAGTGTCCTTATAGCGATTGACTTGGCCTCCTTGTTGGCGTGAACCCGTGGCGACATCTCCATAGAAGATTCGTTTGGGCAACCGCTCGTCGTCATCCGCACGAGGTGGCCACTCCAACACAGTTGCAGTTGTCTCAGCATGGCACAGATGCTGAGGATTCCCGTCCTCTCCACTAAATCCTTGTCCAGGATCTGGTCCTACCACCTCAGCTTCGGCATCCGCCAAAGTCAAATGAGGTTGAAATGATTGAGTCTTCGCACCTGCCTCCTGTACACCGTCCAGGTCTCCGCCCCATATAGCAGCGTTGGCAGGATGACCGCCTCGTACATCTTCAGGTTGGTGTTGGGATGGAGACGGTGGCGATTCTCGACGGAACTTTGCAGACGGCCGAAGGTTTGATTGACTGTTGAAATCCGGCGGGCCACTTCGTCGTCGATCTTGATGGCTCAGCAGAGGGCGCTGCCCAGACATGTGAAGTTGTCCAAGACTTGCAGTTGGACGCCGTTCGCGTTGATTTGGTGCGCGGTTTAGGCAGCGTCGGGTGGCGGCTGATGCATAAACACCGTTCTCTCCGTGTTGATGACCAGGCCTAAAGTGTCGCGGACAGAGGCGAAGAGATCTGTACTCCTCTACATGTCCCCACCCGAGGCGGGGTTGAGGGCACAGTCGTTGTAGGGAGACGTTAATGAACGGTAGTGTGGATACACGCTACTTGAAGTGCATTCTCCGCTGATTAAGGAGGTAGCCGTCCGTCCTGTAGGCGACGCGGATCTCGGTGCGTTCGTCATAGTAGGTGTCTATCAGCGTGACAGAGAACATAAGACTGAAGAGGGTAGGCGCGAGCACGCAGCGCTGCTTCACCCCGTTGGTCACTGTGAATGCCTCTGAGGCAGCTCCCTTGTCCGTGACTCGCGCCGTCATGCCATCGTGGAGTTGACGCACCATCTAAGTGGATCGTTCCGCACAGCCGGATTTCTGCATGATTTTTTACAGTCCTCCACGATTCACCGTGTCGCTCACATCACGTGGACCCATAACTGGAAACCCTACAGCCCTTGAGAGATGTCAGCAACACCCGCTATTCCCCGCCGCTCACCGATGCAAGTACTAACCAGTCCCAATGTAGCTTAACTTCGATGATCGGACGAGAAGCGGTGCTTTCTACGTGGTATGGTCACTGACCCTACCTGCCGAAACACACACACACACACACATCCCTAGGTCACATACGAGCTCCCTCCGCACCACGCACCACAGCCCGTGACAATTAAACTTCTCTACGACAGCAAGCAGGCGACCTGCTTCGTCGTCGCCCTTATAACCTTCGCAACGTCGCATATCAGAACATGTACATCTCACGTCAGTGGAAAAATATTCTTTGATTTATCCCAGAAAATTAAGTGAGTAAGTCGTGTGCGGCACTCGTAAGCAGACTGCCTAACCCTGCCAACATCTGCGTCCAATTTAATCGTCAGCTTGTCGACAGGCCCGGACAGTTGACTGGTGCATGGAAGGGAGAAAAGACTATGAATTCGGCGCACAGAAGAATCCATCCCCATGGCAAATCCGCGCATTCCTCACTATAATAAAGCAAACGAACGTTGAGACTATCATGATGGGCTAGAAGTCGAGTCTTGGAAGGCCGCCAACTGACGGGACAACTCGGTCCTCGTAGTCAGTATTGTGTGGTTAGGGACTGACTGGCTCGAAGACGGAGATTCAGACACAATGCCCCCCCCCCTTAATGTGACCTTTGCGGTACTCTCAGGAAGATAAGATTTGAGCCGTCCAAATGAAAGCTTTGACCATGCTGTGGGGACCAGTTCTTGCATTTCAAGCGCGGACGGACGATACCTTTGTCGTCGTCGTCGTCGTCGTCGAAAGGGATGTGGTGCTGACGTGCAAAAAACGTCTCAACAGCGTCTTCCCGGGCATGCAATTTACGATGGAGGAGGAAGAAAATAACCAGCTGGCGTTCCTTGATGTCCTCGTCTGTTGCAAATATTGTGGTGGTTTGAAGACAAAAGTGTTCAGGAAAGCGATTAACACGACGCAAATACTGAACTTCAACAGCAACCACCCAGTCAGGTACAAATGCAGTTGCGTGAGAACGCTATATCGGCGTGTTGAGACGCGCTGCAGTGGACCGGAAGACAAGGCTGCCGAAGTTCAATATCTTCGAGGGGTTTTCAGAGAAAATGGTTACCCACGCAAAATCGTCAACCGGTGCATGCGCGAACGAGACGAGCGACAAAGTCGTACCGACCCCAAATTCTGGCGAGTGATCCCGTACATCAGGAACTTCTCCGAGACCGCCAGTCGCCTTCTCGGTCCACTCGGGGTTGGAGTTGTACACAGACCGGAGGCCACCATAAGGCGTCAGGTGATGAGACCAAAAGACCCACTGCCACGGCAAGAAACATCTGGAGTCGTTTAACAGATCTGGTGCAGATGCGGACAAAGAAACTACGTCTGAGGAACCGGAAGACAGCTCGGAACGCGAATGGCCGAGCACGATGCAGCGGTGCGGAGAAATGACACCAGCTCTCAAGTTTAGGCTCATTCAACGAGATCCGGCCACAAATTTAAGTTTGATGGGGCCGAAATTCTCGCGAAAGGAGATGATCGCGTGAGTCGCGAGTTGCTTGAGTCGTGGTTCACGGGACCTCGGTCGATCAACAAGTGCAACGACATCCCCACTGCATATTCCGTGCTGAGGCATAGGCTGGCCAAAGTAACTGACCACTCAGGGAGCGCGCAGGATGGTGAGCCAGATGGCCGAGCCATCAAGCAGCCCACCAGCGTGCAAGAATTCTTGGTGAAGGGGAGAGCGGTTAATTACCATAGGTATGCGATTTCATAGCGGCCGCATCCCACAAATGCTGCAACTTCCTGTGCACGAAGCACCCGTTTCTGTCACTGCCTCTGATGACAGGCTCAAGGGAGAATCCGAAACTTCAGGCGAATAAAGCCCTTGTTCCAGCGACCGCTTCATCTTATCAACTTGTTCCTAGAACTCCCATCTTTGTCTGTATCGGACTGCCTATCTTTGTCAGCCATCACCGCACTCCGGTTGACTTGGCGTTGTCTTGCCATCAAAGCCGGGTGGGGGAGAGAAAGGAGAGAGTGCGGTGAATGCTGCACAAGTTCGTCCAACTATAAAGAATTTAAGCAAAAGTCTCCGGCTCTGTGCCAAATCTGTTCGTGGATGTCGTCGTTCATGGCGGTCGAACTGTTTTAAGTCACTTGTACCGGATAGCGAAGATGCTGGTCTAGCCAACTCCAAAGTTTCCAGAATCATAGCCCAACGCTATCTGTCTGATGCTGCATATAATGTATTTATTTGTGTTTGCATGATATATTCTTCCAGAAAAAATTTGTAAGAAGGATTTAAATAGATCGCAAATTTACGAGGTGGGAGGTAACATTCGAAATAATGTTACACATAAAAATATAAAGAAATTGGAGTATTGCTTGCAACCAAGTTCGAAACGATCGGAGATCGCCAGTGGTCACTGGAAAAAACACATCGGTCGCCACTTTGCCTAACTACATGAATTCTGCTCGCCCAAGGCCGAAATGACACCTCATTTCAGGTCTCCTTTAACAGACAATTTTCAATAAAATAGTTTCGCAAAACAAATCTGGCTGCGACTTCAAAATCATCCATGCTTGGTCTTATCCCTCAGTTTTCATCTTATCTTGCGTTAGCCTACTATAGGTCAGACTTTTGGAGACTTACCACTTGAACCGGCTGTATTCGCTCTTATCCAGTCGTCATCCAAATTTCTCCAAGCCGACTGCCCAGGGTAAAATACATGTTTAGACAAATATGCAATTTTTGTTTTCTTGATGTGTTCCTGTGCAACTCGTGGTCAAAAGTACCCCCCCCCCTGATTTTGTTGCATCTTCTTCGTACTGTCTTGAAAAAGCAACATATCCTCCCCTCGGGTTCAGATTTCCTCGGCTGCAAAATTGTCGAAGACACTTGGATGCGGATCGAATTTTTCAAATTCTTGCAATTCGTAGCACTGGCAACCTTCACTTCCAAAATGAAGCTTTTCTGACTGCCATCACTAAAAAACGCAGTTGACCACGAAAAATCTGTGCTTACCGGCAGAAGATCCGTAGTTATTAATCCCTAGCTATCCTGTAAGTTTAGGTTTGAGAAACTCCTAATGGTAACACTGTAGTTTCACAGAGTGGAGCCTGAAGATGGGGAATCGACGCCTCTAATCGCATTACAAGCTCCCAGGTTAGTGCTGATAGTGACTGTGATTGTGGAAACTTGTGGATATTTATCCAGTACGCCAGATAACGGAGAAGCAATTTCACAAATTGGGCTCTCTGTTCCGTTGGAAACGGGAGGCTCGTCGTTTCTTCTGCAAAGTCCACGGGCGACAGACACAAAGGAGTTCACATCTGGGTTCTTTATTTTTTGAGTAAACTAGGACTGCTTTTTATTTAACTTCTTTAAATCTGATCAACTTAGATCATTGTTTGAAGGGAATAACTTTAAATAAGTTGCTTGTTCCACATGTACAATCAACTTCAGTAGCTACGAGTTCAAAAATCAGACATACCTTCGATCTTTAATTAATACTTACTTAAAATTTACCAACTCTGTGTTAACACTTGAAGCAGATGGAACATATAAAGGATTGGTGCTGTTTTCCGAAGTTATTTGAATTTGGTTTGTTTTCAAGGTCCTTCAAACATACTAGGTTTCATTTTGCGGCTGGTGCTCCAGCGACTCCCAAAATCCGTTAGCGGAAGGTCAACTATCAGGCCAGTAGTTTCTATTCTAGAAAAGTCATTTCATCAGCCGAATTGAAGTTCGAAATGGGAGCAGACTCTTATATTCGGTATCGCATTCAGTTTCATTACGAGGCCCAGCTTTAACGTCATTCTCATAAAAGTTGTAATTAACCTACCAACCGTAAATGTACGGTGCATGCATTGCGCTGATATAGCTCACCTACCGAAACTTTGCAAGTAGGTTTTTTTAACTTCTATAATATTTCGGAATAGTCTGTACTGCCCAAGGACGGGGAACAATTTTACGACTGACCATTGATATCTGAAAACTCTGCGTGCGTAGTCGGTTGCAACATGAAACATTTGTGCTTTCCAGCAAACGTCAGACCACGGGGCCTGTAGGACACGCTATTAAGACGGAGGTAATAACTACCTGCCACTGTCCAGCTGTAGCCGAAGGACTAATTTCGTGCATTTGGCCACCACCTAAGCTACCGTGACGAGCTAAATGCGCAGTATTCAGATTATAGTCAAGGAGTGGGGATTGTTCCCACTCAGTCTTCAGTGGCGCCTTGAAATGAACTTGTGTGGTGGCTGACAGAACACATTCCCGACCTACGCATACCGTGACATAGCTGGTTCCAGGTTAATACTTCCTTTCAGAGAAGACGAGTCGGATTTTAAGGCTGGCGCCCCACTATGCTTATTATTCATGGTCGATCCTATTGCAAAAGTGAAGTCAGAGTCTTCTACGGCTCCATACTTAAGGTATAGGTATTAAATTTATGTCCTGTTAAGAGTGACAACAACGGGTTTTGCAAATCGCATGACAGGTAGGTAGAATTAAGAGGACAAATCTTACTGTGTCAAGGGGCGCGCAGGCCGGTTTGGAAGGAGTCAGAAACGCCCGTCTTGATCAAACAGGGCTCGTCGTACTCAGACCGAAGACAAAGTACGTAGTCAGCCGGCCGGGGACGCGAATTCTTATCGGCCTTGACTGGCAGCGCGCACCACCGCGTCGAAATGTGCTCATGCACAAGCAAAGGATACACACGCTAAACCGCCACTGCGCGACAGATAGGGGATGCGATACACGTGCGAAAGAACTGCAAAAATGAAGTACGCCAGATCGGAGAGAGAGAGAGGATGGAGCAGGAATGGTCTGGACACCGAGGGCACTGGTGAAAGTGCTAGCTTATATGAGTTTCGGTGCTTAACCCCTGATTTTGAGGCTTCTACTTTTTCACACCACATGCTAGCTACCTCGTTTTGCGCTTACGAATCAAGAAATTACAACTTGTAGAGAGTTGCATACGATTTTTTCAGTCGTTTATTCACCTCCTCAGTTATGGGAGTTTGTAATTTCCTCTTGGTACAACAATCAAGCGCAAAATATAAGCTGAAATGGCCTAAATGATTGGATGGACCGTCATATATTTTTTTTCAGAATTAATTCCATGTCTTACTCGGATTATTTTCGCTAACAGTGTCAGGCTAGAACACTTTGTACCGCTGTGGTGGCCCAATATTATGAAGCTGCGAGCCATTCTGTAGCTGCACGGTCGTACCCACTTGGTGTCTTTTCGACACGCGTCATTCCCTGCTCGCGTGTACCGCATAACCAAATACGCTCAAGGCCATGAACCGCAAGCAAGCACGGAAATCGGCAACTGGCCGGTCGGTCTGACCATGAGGGGAGTGTGTGCAACGCAGATCACAAACACACGTACGACAGCTCGACCGTCGTTTGCAACGATGTTCAGCGTGCGCTCCACAGCAGAGTGGTAGCAGGAACGGTGACTTGGGCGTGAGTTAGTTTATACGCATAGCAGACTTACGGTGCATCCACCGCAGTCCCTCCTTCTCAGTCTCCAGGGCCAAGTATCAGGGCAGAGTCCAGGGGGATCGGAGGCACAATCGGGTTAGTGCGGCGTAAACCTGCGCCCAGGCTTGCAGCCACACTCCCACGTGGGACATTCGTTATTGGTGCGTTACCCAGTAACGAGTGTCGTACCCTGATCTGGTCCCCGTGTTGGTCCAGCACAACTCCCACTGGGCCCGTTGTATGGAACAAAGTGAAAGTATGTGGTGAGGTACCGGACTAATTTACCTTTGACAATTTAGTTCTGTTTTCTTTGCCCGGATTGGTTGTTTGAATGTGACGAAAAACAACACACCTGTTCAACCCGCCTTGCCGGCCTGCTTTGCTGTCGCGCTATGTTGTCAGATTACTTAACATTCAGAATCTCTATATTTTTCACTGTCCAGTTTTACTTGCTGCTTTTAGGGCTAGGGGCTCGTGAGATATAACTCGTTAGTTCGTGAAAACATCACCATTTACGTCAAGTACACACACATGCACTTGAAATGACTCTCAGCCGACAGCCACTCGTGAATTCCGACTCCTGCCTGTGCTTGCTACTCAGTGCTTTTACACTCTCGCACAGCAAAAGCCGCCCAATCAGAACTGTCCCCCTGATTTCTGATTTGGAATAGAATCCTAGACTGCAACCGATATCCTCGAGAGAAACGCGAACGTGGACAGTCTTCCACTTCCGCAGGATCGTCTGGACATATTTTATGCGCCTTTTGATTCGAATAGTACATTAAAGTTGCAGTGTGTTTCAGTCTTCCCTCCGTAAACAAAGCCTGACTAGCCCTCGAATCCGGTCAAATAACAGGTCGATGTGGACATGACCGATATCAAACACGCATTTTCTTTAAAGGCACAACAACCATGGTTATTTTCTAATTAAAGTGTGCCTCGCATTCATCACTTTTTAACACGACTTCGAAGCATATTGTCATGTTGTAGAGGCCTAAATACTGCGTGCACGGCAATTTTTACTATCAGAGACAAGTTGCGTTTAGCAGTAGATGAGAGGAGCGGTAGGCTAACGGTGCTTGGCCAAAGAAGGCGCTTACATGCCTACCCATCAGGTGTTTGTGAGGCGGTGGTTCCAATGTGCCCACGAGGGCAAAACATAATCATCATCATCATCATCAGCAGCAGCAGCAGCGGCGGCGGCAACAGCAGCATCATTAGCATCAGCAGTATCATCGACTGGTCGGCCAGCTGGCGTGTGGGCGCATGTGATGGGCTTACCACGCTAGTGAATGCATGTAGCACTTGCCTAAAACACTGATCGAATGGGGTCTGGCGTGCGATGCCATGAGCGCCTGACGTAGGCAACGGTCTGAGAAGGACAAATGGAGCGCCTACCGTTCCGCGTAATGACAAACCGCACTATAGAATCTAGATTAAGCTGAGCATGATATCTACAGGGGAAGTCTACATGTGAGGTCATACGCATGCAGAGAACACAGAATCCTTATAGAAGCTACCTTGACGTGCTTTCTTCCGTGTTTTTGCGCCCTCCAACTCCTCGATTTTGCGGGGTGCAGATAACAGAAGATCAAAGTATCCATTGTAGAACCTCCCTTGTTGAATAAGTGAAAGAAAACCGGGGGAATTTTTGGCTGCCGAGCATCTTCTCATTGTCGAAATATGCTGATGCTGCGGGTCCAGCCCTTGTTGGTGACATTACTGCCGAAGTAGGTTTTGTAGGAATTTTCTTTTCACCATGTCTCCCTTACTGCGTGTCACGGACCTTCATTTTGATTAAAATCTATCCTGCCATCTGGGATCTTCAGTCACGATCAAATCGCAAAATAAGGCAAAGGCTTCATAGCACGCTGGAATTTTGTGCAAATGCTTGTGATGTTACTGTCGCATTAAGGTAATTACCAGTAAATACCGCCTAATTGCAGCCGTTATTAAAATTAAACAAGATATCTTGGTTCCGTCCAGAAAGACTTTCGTTATAATTAAAGTCCGGACTAGTGAATGAGTCTCAGTGGTTAGTGCACGGGAGTTCTGTTATATCACCTGTATTTTTCACTCTCAGCTGGAAATAGAACCGATTATAAAAAAATCAGTTCGCCGCCGCTGCTGGCTTTCGGGATTATTGACAAAAATTTACCGTCCTCCGAGCACTACTGAGGGAAGACTTCGAATCCACTCATAGAAGTCCTTCCTATTAGAAGTTGTCGCCAAAACCTCGTCGAAAAATCGTCCACGTTCTGTCGTGTCGACACAGTATACATTGGCTCAGATGTTCACTCAGTCATTCGACAGCTGCAGAGCGCAGCCAACGGCTCAATCCCCTTTTCCCTTGTCAGTTAACATGTCTTCGAGTTAACTTCGCAATACGTGGGAAGCCGTTGACTTATACAAACATCCTCTTCTATCCTACCCATACCACCTGCCACCTCTATTGGAATCCTGAAAAACTCTGTATGTACACTCGTAAGGCAGGCCTCCTTTATCAGGTAAGTAGTTGACTTACGATTAATATTACAAAGAATAGGAGCTATCGGTCTCACTTTCTTCACTCTTTCGAGACCAACGGGGTTTCACACATCGTTCCTTTGTTATTTTGCGACAGTAGCACACTGCATCACAGACTCGTTACACACCGCCGGCAACTATCGGCGGTTGTCAGGCAAATCTTTCTCTACCCGTTTGTTATCTAATTATCTGCCTTTTGAGTTCGGTATGATCTTTCATACCACTGGCATCACTTCGTATCCAGTGCAACTGAACAAAGCTGCCTTACTACTTCGAGTGAGAAGAAGGAGCTGTCCCGACGTTTCGAATTCTTCCTCGAAGCCATCATCGGGGGCGGCTACAGATTTAAGTGAAGTACACAGAAGAGGCGTAGTATTTACAGGATGAAGTTGCCATGCTCTCACATGGCTACCATATTTAGCAGCTCCTGCATTCCTCAAAGAAGGCCGCATTTGGTGCGACGATTACTGCATTGCCTGCAGTCGATTCGTTAACTCTCGAGCCCTGGCGTGACAATCAAGTATGTGCAAATCATTCATCCCACATGTGTCTGCCATCCTTATCTGTAGCAGTCACTGAAGGCGGGTTCGAGAGAAAATCGGAAACGTCGGACTGATAAGATTCCTGCTCTAGTGCTTACATTTCCCTCCTCTGAGCTTCTTCCTGGAAATCACGTTTCCGTTCCTATCGACGGTCCAGACCCCCTCACAACACTTCGCCCAACGTCTACACAAACCCCTAGGTTACACGCGCACACACCCCACGCCCCTACGCAACACGTACCACTCCATGCCTGCAGCATACACGTAACCCAATTTGGCAGCAGAAACGTCGCGTGCAGGAATGTGCGCACCTAACCTATGTGGAAAGCAAGTCATTCGGCGTAGCCTTGTGTGCGAAGTGGTGACCAGGCCATGTATGGCACGAGTGGACGTGCTGTTTAGTCCTGTCAGCTACTGCCTTTTAGACCTCGGCACCGGTTGTTGAAAGACTTGGACAATCGAGTGGTGCATGGAAGAGGAGGGAGATGGGGGTGGTGGCAACACTGGGGACTCCATCCCCCCACGGCACCTCAATGCTTTTGGACCTACAAAAGATGTGCTAACTCGTGAAATGTTAAATGAAATTGTGAAATGCATTTTCGACGCGAAAAGACTACTTCTTTTTCGGCCGCCTGCAACAACTGCGCTCCGTAAAAATGACTACTTAAGTAGCATAATTTTTTCGTTGATTTTCGGTGCCCTTATAAATTTAAATATATTTCAGCAACAAAATATGTATGAAATGCCGATTATTTTAATCATTTGAAAGAAAAGTACGTCTTATTCAAATTTCACGCTTAAAGGAAAGGTATAGTTCGGTTTTAAAAAGTTTCCGATTATGAGGTGTTTTAAGACCCCGAAATGCCCGTCCACAAAACATTGTGTCTCTGCATTTACTTATGTTACTCGTAAAGCTTACGATATGACTAAAATCTACTGCTGGCTTTCATAAACCCCGTACGTCTTTTCTAGATACCGTAGAGAAATTTGTGATTTTCCGTACACGACGAATACAAAGCTAGTAGTTTCGAAAGCCTGAATGCACGTTAAACCGCAGGTTGGGTTCAAAATTATACAGGAATTATAAAATTTTTAAACTCCAACTCTACTTCTCCTTCGGGCGTATAATTCAAAGGTGTGATTTTCTACTGAATGAATAAAAGAATAAATATCTTCATACGTGTTTCCTATGAAATAAATTTAAATGTATAAGGGCATCGAAAACCGATGAGAAAAATTCCCACCACTTAAGTAGTCACTTATTACAGAGTGTGGTTTTTTGCAGGCGGTCGAAAAGAATTTCAGTCAAAAGCCGGTATCTTAATCTAACTGAATTATCACGGGGTTTTTGCCGCGCGGTAATTAAATATTACGGCCCTACTTCGGAAATCTTTTCGAGTCAAAACGCATTTTAAAATTCCGGTTAACATTTCATGAGTTAGTTCATCTACTGTACCACGACGCACCAAGATTCGTGGCTTGTGAGGTTGCCAACTGAGGGGACAACTTAATCCATCTCAAAACCAAGGGCAAAATTTGCAGTCGTTCATTCCTAATATGGCCTTTTGGGCATATTCACTCATTTTGGGATCTGGAGAGTCCTAACAGTAGCCTAGTATATGTAGGGGCACGCCTGCTTACATTTCTAACGATTTGGTTATTCATTGATGTTTTTGCAGATTTTTTGAATAATTCATATTGACCCAACTGTGAAAAACTCGGCGCCTCGGTGGGATTCGAACCCACGCAGTAAGGGGAAGGCTTTAGCGCAGCCAACGCTCTAACCACCTGAGCTACGAGGCCCCGCCGGACGACGCGAGATTAATCACATTGTGTATTTGTCTGTCCATCCGTCTACTCTGTTGGCGCTGTTTCTCTTCCACGTGTAGGCACTCTTTCCTTTCTGTTCAGCAGCACGTACGCTGGTTTTCTTCAGCCCCTGCCACACCTGTCTTTGTGCAGTTGGCGGCAACAAATTTTCTTGCACGCGGACTTTGTACTGGTTTGGTTGATAAGACCCTTTGTCCACTTGTCGATGCAAAAATCTTGCCGGTTTCTGAAAGCTGTGGCGATCGCGGTGTTATCTACTGCAGTGAACAGTTCCGCCCAATGGTGAGTTAATAAAGGGCTGGGCACGGTCGCAGTCCGCGTTTAAGAGAAAGGGATGATGTGAGGTTGATTGTTGCAGCAGTCGGTCAATCCGCCGCGCACAAATGCTCCCCAGGGCTGAGTACGAAGCGCTCCTTACTGGCTTCTACTACTGCTGCTACTAGTACTACTACTACTACTACTACTAATATTACCACTACTACTACTACCACTACTACTACAACTACTACTACTGCAACTACTACCACTACAACTACTACTGCCGCTACTGATGGCAGTAATGCTACTGTTGCCGCTGCTGCTACTACTGCTGTTACTACTACTGCTGCTGCTACTACTAATATTACTACTACTACTACTACTACTACTACTACTACTACTACTACTACTACTACTACTACTACTACTACTACTACTACTGCAAATACCGCAGTGTGGCACGCGCGGACGGAGTATTTGGCCATGTTAATTACTCAGCCTGTGCCCACGTCTAACCGTATTTACTCTGTCTCGTTATTGGAGCACGAGGAATGTGGAGGGGGATGGCGAGACGGATGCAACTCGAGTCTACTTCACCATAAACGAATCCACGAGCAAGTGGCTGCTGCCGCGTCCCCCATGCGTGGCAGAGCTGAACGCCGTCGCCTATGGCGGTCGAACTGTCTCGTACGTTTTCCCACTATCAAAATGAGCTCAAAAGAAGACTGATACTTATTTCCACATGAACCACTGCGTACATTTGCGGCCACTTATTTTCTAGCCTGATTCGTCTACAAAATGATCAAACGGGAGTCCACCCTGCTACCACTACCATTACAACAACTACTACTGCCGCTACTAATGGTAGTACTGCTACTGCTGTCGCTACTACTACTACTACTACTACTACTACTACTACTACTACTACTACTACTACTACTACTGCTGCTGCTGCTGCTGCTGCTGCTGCTGCTGTTACTACTACTACTACTACTACTACTACTACTACTACTACTACTACTACTACTACTACTACTACTACTACTACCATAAGCATAAAAATGGGCCCAAAAGAAAACTGACACTTACTTCCACATGAGCCACTGCATATATATGTGGCCACTAAGTTTCTAGCCTGATTCGTTTAAAAAGTGATCACACGGAAGACCACCCCAAGCAAACGTAGTAAAACGCATTCTGAATTTTTATCTCTTTTTCAAACATGCTAGTGTTGTAGCACGAAATAGGAAATTTTTACTAAGTCTCCGGCATTTAAGTATTAACTGAATACAAAATGGCTAAGAGTGCCTCAGGTAAGGATAGGTTGTGCCGCCCCACTGGGCTAAATATGTACAACTAACTACTATATTTGCTTTAGTAAGCCCTGTTCCGTCTATCGCCTCATAGCTAAAGGAAGTCGCCCTCTGAGTTTTGCCTAGTACACTGATACAACCACGTGAAGTGAGTCGATCCAGTATGATCTTTTCAAGTGATACATTGTATGGCATGAGGCAGCCTTCTGCTCTCGCCCCCCCCCCCATCCGTAAGCCGTATCTTTCAAGAGGGTGGCTATAAATTCTTGTGTCATGTCGATACTCACCATAAAACGCGTGTTGTAAGGATCGTTGGCCGCGTTTTGGTTTACTTTGCATCAATTAGAGCACAACCGCTCTGCTTCCACAACATCTCAAAGCGATATCTGTCGTCGGGCCGTTGCCAAAGTGAAACGCGAACCACGCAAATCACAGCTACGCCCCGTCCGCAACGCCCACGCTCAACCGCTTCCAACGTGTCCTCGGAGTCAACGGACATTCCGGGAACGAATTGGACTCATTGGACGCCTTCGGACCAACTGCACCTCCCATACCGTACCAACCGCCGTCCATCCGCTCGCCTCTTCCTCGTCCTCTCCGCCGCCAACTACCTCTTACAATTCTTCTGAACCACCACTTCCGTCGTCGTCGTCGTCGTCGTCGTCCTCGTCCTCCTCCTCCTCCTCCTCCTCCTCCTCCTCCTCCTCCTCCTCCTCATCATCATCATCATCATCATCATCCCCCCCCTGCTTTTCCCAATCATCTTCCCCCTCATCCTCCTGCCCCACTGCACCAACCATGGCCGCTCTGGTGACCGCCACACACAGCAGCATCACACACATCCATGACGCAAAAACAGACGCCATCCCTCCAACCTCTGACTCCAGGGGTGAGGATCAGGACTACACCTGCCCTCACTGCGATCGCACCTTCACCTCACGCACCGGCCTGGTTAGTCACTTGCCAATCCATCTCTCAGAGAGTGGCGAACCAGTGCCAGGAGCACCAACCTACACCCACCACACCCGCCTCCACTGCCCACACTGCCCTCCCACCTTCACGCATCGCATGGGCTTATTCGGCCACATGCGCATTCACGAGAGCGGAATTGACCACCCTCCCGACTCACCCACCACGCCAAACCCCATCCCCACTTCATCAGCCTTTGCGCCCATCACCGTTATCGCAACTGACACCGACACCACCGAGTTCGCCTGCCCACACTGTCCACGCACATTCACCTCTCGCCTCGGCCTGGTCGGTCACTTGCGAATCCATCGCACAGAGACTGGCGAACCAGTGCCTGGAGCACCAACCTATACCCACCAAGCTCACCTCCACTGCCCACACTGCCCTTGCACTTTCAGGCATCGCATGGGCCTATTCGGCCACATGCGCATCCACGACGACCTGCGGTAGACAACCGCCGGTTACACCACACCACAACACACTCCGCCCTGCCTCGCCCACCACCACCACCTCACCACACATAAACACTCACCCGCCGCATGCACCCAACTGTCACCTCCCACGCAAGTGGAAAGTGTGCATCTCGACTCGGTCCCAATGCGGCTTCGGCTGCACAGGTGACTTGAGTCCGAGACTATCCCGACACGTCAAGCGTCGTGTATAGGAAGGTTGCTGCTTGACGCCCGCTCTCGGTTCACGCAGTTCGTCGCGTTGTGTGTGTGCTGTGTGGAGTGGCGGACTGGTGAGCTGAAGACGGGCTGAAACAGCACCTACCACGGCCCTCTCACGCAAGTGAGAGACACGCCGTTCAACCCCCGTTGTGCAAAATCCTGGTATATGTGTGTATGGGGGGCCAGGTCATGCTGTGGCGCGCGCAGACATGGTCAGTCGACCGTGCCAGCCACCGCGCCCATCCCCCACTCTAGTCTACTGACCGACTCGGACAGCGGCTGGGGTGTGGGGATGGGAAGGGAGAGTGAGGTCGACGACTCAGCGCACTTTCTCCTCACTATAAACAATCTGACGCGCTTGAAGCTATCACGGTGCGCTAAAAGCCGTGGCTTGGAAGGTTGCCAACTGACGGGGTACCTTGGACCCCCTCCTTAACGGGAGGCGGTCTGAGAGTCAGGCTGCACTGTCTCCTTCTTAACGTGACCTTTATGGCACTCCCACCACAGTGTGGGATCCGAGCCAGGCGTCGGCGGCACGCCTAGGTGCGGCTTCGTTCGTGACAGCCTCCAAATCTCTCTTATGTTGGTTGAAATCCTGGTTGTTTGTTGTGTGGACCGGGGAATGTGGTGGAACGCCAAGGCGAGGTTCCGTCCGTGCCATTCACCTGCGGCCACCCTCGTCTCCGGTCTTCTTGACTCTGTCTTGACTTCGGGCTCGGGCGAGGGAGGAGGAGAGAGTGTAGGTAGATGCAGCACAAGTCTACTGGCACTATAAACCCCTGCACAAGTCACCTTCCCTGCTCCCACCGCTGATGCTGTGGGGCAAACGGTGGACATTATCAAACTCGATGGTCGAACTATCATGTTATAACTTATTTACTTCTTCGAAAAGGGTAGCTTAACCCTCTTGTGCCATGTCGGTACTCACAATACAGCGCCTGTTTTGATGGTTTTTGGCTACGTTTTGGTATACTTTGGCTCCGTTAGGACACAAACGCTAAACTTCCATGATATCTCCAAACGGTTTATGTTATCATATGCGTGCACCAGGGCTTACTTACTTCTTCAAGTATACTTGTGCGTAGTCCCTCTCATAGCCTGTAATACGGCAGAAAATTCCGTTGAGGCTACATATAACAATTCACTTACAAATGGTCGTCAGATTAGGTTCAAGAAGGAACCGTTTAGGTTTTCTATTCGAATCTGTTGTACCAAATATGCTTCCACAATGTACGACAGGAATATTTTTCACACTTGCTTCAAACCTACGTTACCTAGGCCAAACCACAGGCGATATTGAACTCCGTGTACGTAGGCCCATATTATTCGACCCGACACCGGAGCCCTTAGATCTCTCCTCCTTCGACATTGGCCACACCGAAACGCATATCTGTTAGTGTGCTGCCTAACATATTGATATTTTGCTGCACTATATAGCAATGCCCTTGTCTGGCAATATTTCCCCACCTTCTTCGAGTTTATAACCTCGGTTTTTTCCTCCGCTTTGATCAGAAAATCAAGTTTGGCTTGTCCGACTTTTCGGCGACCTGGGGCTGATATTCTGTACTTTAGTAGGAAATAAACAACCATTGTTAGTTATTCTGTTCATAAATGCATTTCATGATTATACATAACCTTTACACATAAATAGTTGCGTTAGGGGGCGCTCACCGATCGTTCATACGGAACTCACTCGTTCCGTTGTGCCTTAAGGGCTCTCTCTCGAGCCCAACCAGCAGCCGCACAGCGGCGCATGATATATAGGCAGAATGATATTACCGACAAAGACAAGGGAGACTGGAATGGCCATTTCTGGCTTATTAGCCGTCGTCAGCCAGCCATACCCAAGCCCGAAGTGTGGAACACCCGACTGTATATTCCCGATCGAAAACCGACAAGGCAACGGGCTCGTGGCCCGGTGAGTAGAGGCGTTGACTTCTAAACCAACAGGTCGCGAGTTCGAGGCTCGGGTGTTCCACACTTCGGGCTTGGGTATGGCTGGCTGACGACGGCTAATAAGCCTGAAATGGCCATTCCAGTCTCCCTTGTCTTTGTCGGTAATATCATTCTGCACATAAATAGTTGTTCTTCTTGAGTTTTTATTTTACAGTAGTCCGTCGACTTTTTATAGAGTTGCAGACGGGCACCCATACCTATGTTGGTTTGTTTTTCCTCGTTCGTTACGGTGTATTTCCATAGCTTCCGTAATATTTATTAGCATCACATTACCATGCAGCACATTTTCACAGTTAATATATTTTTGACCAGTACTGTTTTTCCCTTCTATTGGCTGTTTGTTTCACTGGTCCCTGGGCTGTCGCAGACTTGCCGGCGGCGGATCATTCAATTACCTTTCATTTATTGAGGGTTTTCGTTTTTTTATTTTTTCAAATAACGCTCTCACTTCCGTTGCTATGTACAGGCTTAGAGGAAGAATTTCAGGGCAAGTATATCTATTTTCTAGATGTTATTGTGTGAATTTCGCTCTCCTCTGGCCGTGAGGCCCCACCCGTAAAACGCCTATTACCACCATCCTCATATTACATGAGCCTGGGGTTACGGGTTGCGAAGTGGGGTTACACAGCCAACAGTTGCCGTGCTCCAGAATAATGCTCACCTAACAAATCGGCCAGTTGTTTTGGAGTCGATCTTAGACATCCAAATATACGCACGCATGTTCTGTATGTTGAAGGACGTTTTACGTTTTCGCATAACCAAATATATTTGTGAATGTGACAGCATCAGGCTGGACAGCTGTCCTTGTTAGATCTCACGGAAATCTGTGCGGTAACCAGTTTTTTACTTCTTGGGAGTGATCACAATGGGTGAATAGACAGTTCGACCGTCGTTTCCGATTACGTCTACAGTGAATGGGCGGAGAATGGCATTCCAGGTCAGGGAACCTGAAACATGTGAGTTCCTCTTCTGGTGGACATTCGAGGCAGGAAAGGCAGACCTGCTGTTTTAATTTTAAACACACTGCTCTTGTAAACGACACCGAGAGAAATTGTGTACAAAAGACGTCTTTGAGCGGACCTTAAGGCCGATAGTTTGCCAGGTTACCGAAATTAAATTGAGTCGCATGACACTGCTTGCAAAGAGATGGCAAGTTACGGCAATTGTCCTACTATTTACACTCTACGCAGCGCTAATAATTCCCGAATATAATTGACACTGACCACTTCGTTTAATCAAGTTTACTCTCAACTACTTAGTTCCAAGTGAACACTATGTGGAATGCTTCGCATCAAGCATAATGGCGTGCAAAGAAATTCAGTATTACAGGTGGATTGTGATTAAAATGATTGCGTGATCAACTTCTATGGCCTAGATATGAAGTTTACGGTGCCCACCACGCTGTCTTGTTTTTCACACCGCTTATGCATTCATTAACCGGTCTGATCTTGGCAGGCCAGCCGTATGGGTGTGGCTGGCAGACAGCGAACATGCAGTCCACCGGGGTGAATTCCTATTGGCTGTTGTGGCACTAGCGTCCGGTTAGGGTCGATCATCGGTTTCGCTCATGCAGCGTTAGCCAATAAGACACTCCTGCCGTCTTGGCATGCGCGCGGGTGCGTTTCTTGCGTGTTTATGCACGCGCGCGTTTGTGTATTGACGCCGCGTAGGGCGACGGACAACTGGATTGCGAAGCGGTTGCTACTCTCTAGTCCTCCGCCTGAGAGCAACAAGAATCTGACACTCAGGCGTCGTTCGCGCACCCGGCAGTGCTTGATTCTAGTTTGTAGTAGATTCCCACACAAAACTCTCCGTAGACTGTGATCGGATAGATTGTGCCAGAAAAACACCAGCCACAAGCGCGAGAACATCGATTGACGCGCAAGCTACCGTAAGAAAATCACCTGCCTGGCTGCTCGAATAGCTATTATTTGCGTCTCAATAGCAAAGGACGTCTACTGTCTCTCCAAACTGGTCTTCAACCACTTTGCAAATTCAGTACGGATTCAAATGGCACGGGAATTAGTTAGTTTATGCGAACATGTGGAGTCACCGCATGACTTCAGAGTGTCAGGATTAGTTTTATCAGTAGAACACAAGTTTTCAATTTTATACACTCAGGTGAAGGCCACCTATTTCCTGTAGTTTCTAACGTTTTACGGGGAAGTGGATCAGTATAACTGAGCACAAAATGTGAGAAATTTTTCAAAAAATGTAACCATTATGACTCATCAGGTCTGCCAACAATTGCCATCAAAACAAAATTTGAGCAAAATTCGGTCGGCTAATCAGACTTTTGTCATCATGCTCGCACTCTTCACAAGTCCCCCATGTTGACGTGACCGTCCTCGCATTTAGGACTTCGATTAGACGTCGATCGCAGGGGACGTTCAGATTTGTCTCTTGCCAGAGTAAAAATTGATATTTATGCTGCGTGGTCCTTTGTCTCAACTGCCTAACTTCAGATCGGATGCTTTTTAGGCAGGCTTAAGGTATGGAATCAAATTACTAGAATACATACGAGAAACCAAAGACCCTGAAATTGCCCGACCAGAGACCGTAGAAATTGCTCCAAGATTAACTCAAGGCGCCTTGAACTATAACTAACAGGAAGGTTAGGTTAGGAAAATTATTAATTCCACGAAGAAATGACTACTATGAGAGAGTGAAAATTCGGTTTTGGTGAATTCCTACTAGACTGGAGGTTGAAATAAGAGTCCTTTGAGGTCTTTCAAACCATAAAACAGTCAGCTGACAAGGATTCATGAATTTGTTTGGCTGATAACCTTTCGCACGATAGCTTTATCTGATTAGCTGGTTGTC